AGAAAGTCACAAAGGGTCCTAGTGACCCAGAGAAAGAAAAACTGACATCCCATCTAAGTCCAGTGAAAACCATATGGGACCTTAGAAAGTATACAGCCAGGTTTCCATTAATAATATAACCTTCCATTAATAATATATCCTGGGGTTGATGGGCTGAAATGAAAAGGAAGAGAGCATATAGAAAGATGCATCTGGAAATTTTTTTTATATCAAATCAGATATAAGAAGAGGATAAAGTTGTATGGATCTAAGAATGACATGGAGACAAATAAAAGAATTCCAATCCCTTCAGAAAAAGAATTGACTGGAGCTAGCAAAGATGTGAATAAAGAGGCCCAAGAACGACTCTTTGAAATCTGGCTGGTGATATTTGCAGCTATGTTCATCATGAAATGGCTCTAAGTTAGCCACACTAGATATAACCATAAGAGTACCTCATCTGCAGCCTGAACCTCAAAAATCTGGGCCAAACGAGTAACTTTGAAATCACTGACTTCTCGGTAGTCACTGAAGCCAAGATGGAGAATGAGATGATGAAAGGAGAGACGGTAGAAGGATAAAAATGTCCCGAACAGAAAATACTATGATTGGCGTCATTCTTTAGTGGTTAGGTAGAGAAGCAGCCATGAAGGAAGCTGAGACAGAATAGACAAAGCGAAAGGAGAAGTACAGAGTAAAGAGATACCATGGGGGGAAAAAAAAAAGGAAGGGAGCAGTGACAATATTTCCAAAGAGGTCCTAAAAGACACACTGAGTTATGTGGTCTCCCTCATATTAAACAAGGCTATCACTACTTGCCTTTGCAACAGAGCTTTTGTAAAAGAATGTGCCAGAAATCCATGTTACGGGACATTAGTCCATGAATGACAGAGGAAGAAGCAGGATCAGCACATTTAGACAAAGCTTTCTAAAACTGGGTGTGAAATTAAAGATGGAAGCTGCAGTTTCTAGATAGCAAGTTCTACCTGATTTTCTCCACATTTTTGGATCTGTTTTTCTAGGGTAGGAATTTTCCATATACGTGTACAAGGAATGGGAAGACAAGTGGCTGTACAGGGAGGGCAACAGGAAAGTGGCTGACCACAAACATAACATAATAGGAAACAAAATGTGAAAGCACCTCGTGAGACAGTTCTGATGGAATCTGGAACAGATGTAGATGCAAGAGTGGAGCAAACAAATGAGGCCGAAAAGCACTCGAACGAGTCATCAAGTTATCCCAATTGAATACTACAAAGTAAACTTGGTAACTGTTATCTGATTTTTTTTTATACTGATAGTAAGTACCTAAAGTGGAATGATGGAAAAGACCAATAAAAATGTAACCATCAGGAAAACGGATGGACTGATGTTTTAGAACAATTGGTAAAGTGTCAGAATAGCATTCGCAAAACCTTGTGTGTGATCCTCAGTGGTTGTGGATATTGCTCTGTATAAATAAAATGCTGATTGCCCAGTAGCTAGGCAGTAAGTATAGGTGGGACAAGCAGAGAAGAGAATTCTGGGAACAGGAAGGCTGAGTCACAGAGATGCTGCCAGCCACCATGATGAGAAACATGTTAAGATACCAGTAAGCCATGAGCCACGTGGCAACTTATAGATTAATAAAAATGGGTTAATTTAAGATATAAGAACAGCTTTTTCTTCTCCATGCACGTGTCTCTCCCACAGGCCTGCACACTCTCTATCCCTTTATCTCTAATAAAACTCTTATAAGCGGATTCTATCATGTTTAGTGACACTTCCTTGCAGGGTAAGAACACAACGCGGCTAAATAACTAACATTTTGGTGCCGAAAACGAGCGGGTACTTATAAGAAAGAAAAAAAGAAAAAGAAAAAAAAAGATATAAGAACAGTGAGCAAGAAGCCTGCCATGGCCATACAGTTTGTAAGCAATATAAGTCTCTGTGTTTACTTGGTTGGGTCTGAGTGGCTGTGGGACTGGCAGTGAGAGAGATTTGTCCTGACCATGGGCCAGGCAAGAAAACTCTAGCTATACTCAGTAATACATAATTCTGTAATCCTGGCATTCAGAAGGTAAAGTTGTGAGAATTAGAAGTTCAAATTCATTCTCAGCTGCATAGCAAGATCCTGGCTCAAAAATCAACCAATGAAATAAAGAAAAGAAAAGAAACACCACCAGTAACAACAAAGATGAAACTGTGGCATCCAGTGATGATTGGATTGGCATGGAAACAGTCAGTTGCTAAAACTTTAAGCTCATGGAAATGTCTGTAGTTGCTGATAGCAACAAAAAGAAGCATAGAGAAGCATAGTTAACTAGAAAGATACTTAAATATAAGCCCCTCTTGCCATAATAAAGCAAATAGAAAGTGTACAAACATGTATGAGTACTGTCAATAAGCATGTACAAATAGCATCGCTCATATAGAGCACTGTTTTCTTAGTCCATGCATGTCTATGTTGAGTGTCTTGAGAAGGAACAGGCAAGTCTTCCCTTCATCTGACTATGCCCATCAGTTAGTCTTATTCATCACTGGTGTCAAGCTCTTCACTAACGCTCCTTGGGCAGTCTTCGTAGAGTGGTCCAGCTGACCCTTTGGGTTGAGTGATCGTGAAGTCTAGGGTTTGAAATGTGGTTACACCACTCCTAGCTAGTCTTCTAGCAATGTTAAGGACACAATCACCCCTAAAATTCCTCCCTTGTATGATGGGAATAAAAGCAAAAGTTTCTAATGTGAGCTCATGAAGTCTGATGAATGGAAGAGGGGGTGACATTAGCTATCCCATGTGAGGTATCTAGCAAGGAGATGCTAATGGAACTATTGTTATGACTTTCCTGCTGTACATCTTATGTATGCAGTATGCCGATATGTTAAGCAGAATCATTCAAAGGAGCTCCCTAAAGAAAACCACACTGTATCTTGCCTCCAGGGTGGCATGAATTTTGTGATACCATCAAGGGGTTCCTTATCAACATCTGGCTGGAATACCAAAGTGAACCTGCCTGTAGTTCATTCAGTCCCAAATATTTATTGATTGAACATTTAGTCACACAGACAACCTTATCTAATGGCATGGGCAGTGCCTGAGAAAGAATCTGTGTCAGCATAGGTACTAAACAAAATTTACTTACAAATTATAATAAAGAACCTGTAATACATTATTTTTGAAAACAGAATGCTTTGTTTTCATCCTCACATAGTGTAAGGACAAGTCCAGAACAGGAGAAGGGAAGCTTGCTACTCTAGGTGGATCAAGAAGAGAAAAGTTCTCCTTGTCACCCATTTTCAGTCCTGTTTCTGATACTTTGGACTACGAAGTTAGAAAACCAGGAAACACAATAATCAGTCTCAGAAATGGAAATATTCTCACAAGCCCCACACATGATGCCTACTGAGCAGAGGCCTTTGTCTGGCAACATTTTAAGTACAATAAAAAGATCTTTGGGTAACATTAGACAAAGGCCTATGAAACATTAAACCCAAGGAAACAATTAAAAGACCTAGCATTTCCAAGTTTAATAATTGGATTATTATTTAAATGTATCACCTTTTAAGTTGCTATTCCTAATGGGATCCTTGTGAGCAAAAATTCAGCCCTTAAAAATTATACTTAAATTAAGTAATATCTAGTTACTTGCATATCTTTTTTTTTTTTTGGTTTTTCGAGACAGGGTTTCTCTATGTAGCTTTGCGCCTTTCCTGGAACTCACTTGGTAGCCCAGGCTGGTCTCGAACTCACAGAGATCTGCCTGCCTCTGCCTCCCAAGTGCTGGGATTAAAGGCGTGTGCCACCACTGCCCGGCTTTTTTTTTTTTTTTTGGCTTGCATATCTTATAGATATCATCAGTGCTAATCTAATGTAAGGAAGCATTAGGAGATTAAAGATGGTGTAATTAGTTTATTCTTGTAAAATGTATTCATTGAAGTTTTTAAAACTCCACAAAAAAATTCATAAGCCTGAAAGAAAAGGGCTTAACTTATAGACACACACAATATGCATATATATGCATGCACAAACACATAAACATACAAGTATGCATATAGAGAGAGACACCTTGTTGTAAAAAGAAAAGTAAATAATAAAAGAGATTTTAGAACGTGGGCATTTCCAGCAATAACAGGGTCATAAGATTAGGAAAGGGAAAGCCAATGAGTTTTCACTGAAGATATCTCTATATAGAAATGGCATCTGGATACTGCACAAGGCTTATCCCATCTGATAGTGATTCATTCACCGTTGTTCTGAAATTTTTATATTATGAAAAAAATACTGAATGGAGTTTATTTTGAACTTTCAGGTCTGCACTAGCTATTAAATAACAGAACCGAGACTGGATTCTGTGGAATGGCAAAGCACACACTCTGATCGCTGACATATGAAATCTCAATCCATTTTTGGATTGTCTGGAGAGGCCTGAACCATTAACCTATTCATTGCAAGTTCTTAAACCAATTTATTCCGATGTTGACATAATGGAGATGAAGTAGTTAAGAGTTTAAAAGCAAAGAATGAACAAGTGATTTATGAGGTCTGGGGAAATTCAGGCTGCTGAAGCAAATTTTGTCAAAATTTGTCATTTTCTTTGGAGGATCTTAGACAGACAAACCAGGAGACAAGATTCTAAAACCATACAGCAAAGTTTCCACCATAGTAAACATGAGTTCATCATGAACCGAGAAGTAGATCAGGCAAGTCTTGCAAGTATTGGTATTAAATATTCAATTTTATTGGTGATTGAAGGTTATTGATACAGTTTTTAAGTTATAAGGTTTCAGAATAGCATTAAAATTATTTTTTTCTTCCGATTTTTTTCTCATTGCACTTTTTTAAAACTAAAAGTCCCTTTTTCCATTTTATATACCAACCACAGTTCCCCCTCACTTCCCTCCTCCTGCTTAACCCCCACCTCCACCCCACCCTACCCCCATCCACTCCTCAGAGAGGGTAAGGCCTAACACACACTGTTTATTGTTTCTGTTTAAAATATTTTGGAAGAGTAACATGGATTTTTAGGCTTGAGACATCATAACAGTATATTCTTGGAATCAGTTAGGAATTTCCCTAAGAATTATCCATAGAGTGGCAGGCATTTGAGAAGCATGCGATTATACATAGCTCATTTCTTTGTGGAGGACATTTCATTTTTTGTTTGTATATTTAGTAGAGTAACTAATTCATATCTAATAAATGGCATCCATACAGGAATCCTAAAGGTATTGGAGTTTCTTAACAGCCTGAGTGAAGATGGGACAAACCAAGGCCAGAGAGAGTGATTTTAACTTCATATAGAGAGTTTATTTGGAGTACATATTTTACAAAGGAAAAGAAGCTCAGATTCTAAAATAGTGCAAGTGGTATTTCAAAATGCTTTATGCTCATATTCCATCTCCTAATATTCAATAGCACACAGAAAGGTAAATGCCAAAGGGCTTGATAGGAGCATCAAGCCAGTCACATAATAATCCCTTTGTTAAGCATATTATTATGAAAGATACAAATCAAAGAAGGTGGAGTAAACACAGACTTCAGTGTTTCTATTGAGCTTAAAATGATCACTTATTCTGGAAGTTCTGGCCAACTCCATTATACTGTCTCTTTCTTGGTAGTCGATTCTTGTTCAGGGCTCTTGATTAAACCCTGTCACTTCAGAGGAAGTTCAAGAGAATGTGCGTTACAGAAACAGTTGCTACTGATCAATACATTTCAAACCACATACAGGGTATATCTTTAAGGACATAATTCATCAAAACAGACTCACCGGGGCTCCTTACGCTATTTTCATCGAGTTTCTTTCTACTGGAAAACGTGGCAGAACCCTCTACACGTGACACAAGAGTTATGTTGAAATTATGGAAATCAGTTGCTCAAAAATGCTCAAATAAAAGAAAACAATCCAATGTAAGGTTTTGAAAGGAAGAAAATTTCCTTGGATTTAATATGCCACCCTCTTATTTTAATACCCTCTAGAGATAACCTAATGAGACAACCTAATATCCTCTTTTAAGATTATTTCTTTTGGTTTTGGGGATTATAATCACATAATGTTCCTCTTCCCTTTCCTTCCTCTAAACCCTCCCATATACCTTCCTCTTGTGCTTTCTCAAAATCATGACTTCTTTTTTCATTAAATGTTGTTACATATAACTATGTATATGTATGTGTGTGTGTGTATACACACATATATACTCATAAATGTGTAAATACTGTCTGATCAATTGGTAAAATGTTCCTTGTACATGTGCTATCAGAACTGGCCCCTTGGTACTGGAAACCAAGTGGTGGATCATCCTGGAGAAGACTCTCTCTCCTACTGTCAGTATTCTTGACTATAGTTCTTTGTCTAGGATTGAAGACTCAAAGATTCTTCCCACCCACTTTAGCATGTCTATTGTATTGTTCTCGTTCAGCTCATGTTTAGGCAGTCATGGTGCAGAGACTTTATGCGTGTAGTTTCTGACATTCCTAGGAGATACGGTATCACAGCAAACTCCTTGATCTTCCGGCTCTTACAGTTTTTCTGTTCCCTCTTCTGAAATGCTTTTTGAGTCTTCGATGCAAGGGTTGCATTGTAGACAATAGCTATTGGTACTGGGCCCCACCACTCTGCATGTTGATTGGTTGTGGTTTTCTATAATGGCCTCTGTCCATTGCATCTGTTGGAAAGAGAAGCTTCCCATGATGAGGGCGAAGACTGGAATTATCTGTAGGTTCAAGAATGAATATTTAGAATGTGGTCAGGGATTGTGTTGATTTAGTAAAGCAGCATTCATAGGTTCTCCTCCAATATCCGTGTCGTCACCAGCCCTGGGCAGTGGGATAGATTCAGATACTAGGCATTCCCTACTGTTGAGCAGATGTTCAGTTCAATTAGAGAGCTACTGGTCACTGCAAAGGTGTACATGCCATTACGGATTCACATGAGAAATGCAAGACTCTAAGTGTGAATCTCAGTATTAACTTGTATGAAATGGAAGCTTAAAAAAATAATTTCATTTTGTGGTCCTATGATGACTGCATACCATTTTATATATATATATATATATATATATATATATATATATATATATATATATATATATATTTGTGTGTGTGTGTATGTATGTATGTGTATGGTGTATGTATATGTATATGTATAGTTAGTTAGTAAGTATATATCCTGAGCTCTACATACCTATGTATTAAAGAAAACATGAAGAAATGATCAAGTTCATTTTGTTAAGTAACATAAATTAAATCCTACTGAACAGCAAACCATTGGTGTATAAAAAGAATAATAGCTTTCTAAGCTTGAAAATCTTTATCTTCCTGTATAATGTTAGCTTGAAGTCAAAGTAACATATTCTATTCACTCTTCTACAAAGAATCTGAAATAACACATCTTAAATTGTTATACAAGATAAAATATTACTGCCCAATCAGAGGTACAAAGATAATATGATTTGTAAATGGGATTTTTCATTTCAATAGTCAATTTTGTTTTCTGACATCTAGCCCTTTAGGTCAGAATTTGTATATTTTACCCAATGTCTACTCAAAGAGTACATTATTATAAGGTTATCATGAAAGACACTATTTATTACTACAACTGCTGGGGAAACATCTGTCTGTATTGCCAGGGAGAAATTTAATCTGTGGGTGAGTGAGATAGCTCAAGCCTGACAACTTGAGTTCTGTCCCTGGTACCCACAAGGAGGATGGGAAGAACTGACTCCAGCAAGTTTTCCTCAGATCTCCGTATGCACACTGTGACAGGCATGCCCCTCCCCTCAACCCAACACACATGCTATAAGTCAATGTAAAAAAAGTTAATTGAAGAAAAAAAAAAAAGAAATCCTATTTGTGAAAACAAAACAAGCAAACACTATACACACAGGGGTTAGAGAGATGACTCCGTGCTCTTGGCATTTATGAGGTCTAGCGTATGGGTGTTCACAAGCCAGGTGTTCCCAAAAATGCTATGGGGCGTGGAGACTGGAGGATCCTTGGGGTTTTGGGGCTTCCAGCCTAGCAGAGGAAATGCAAACAACTGGGTTGAGGGAGAGACCCTGCCTCAAAAGGAAAAACAGAAAGTGATACAAGAGACACAAATGTCCTCCTCTGGCTTCTGCATGCACAGTTGGGACCAGACACCCAAGCACACAGACAAATAAACTAAAATAAATAGATACATGCATAAATAAAATCTTTACAGTCAAAAGAAGAAACACATAGTGACACTCGGCATTGACTCCAACAGCTACAGTCGTATTCTTTTTCTCCGGCCTAGCCTTATGTTGACATCTTACAACCACCTGCAGCACACATCCTTTCACTGTGTCTCCATCCTTACAATTCCACCATGGGCTACTCAGATACAACTATAGCTTCACTAGAAGATTTTATGCTGTAGTGTGCATGTGTGCCTGTATGACTTTGAACAATATTTCATTAAATGACAATATGCTATATATTGATGTATTTAACAAAGGACAGACTTTTTGTTTGTGATTTGGTGTTGAATTTTTTTTTTTTTTGAGTACAGATGTTGTGGGTATTAGAGCACAGGTATTTATGTGGATATATATTTCACTCATCTTTGTCAAATAGCTACCAAGTAGGGTTTCTCTGTCTTATGTTTTCTTCTGAGATTCACATACCAAGTATATGTTTGCTTTTATGAAATTATCAAATTGCCTTATCAAATTCCTGTACCTTTTTGTTTGATGTTCCTATATGGAAGTCACTTGTGCCCACTTTTCTCAATGTCTTGTGATTGCCAGTCTGTCTATTTTACCTACCACAGGGCTTGCAGAATTAGATAGATGTAGTCGACAATGGCTTATATGTTTTGGCTATTGGAATATGGTATTGTTCTTGCTGTTGTTGTTGTTATTCCCAGAATTCCATTAAAATATCTTCCAGTTTGTAAAATATACTTTTGTAGTTTATTACTGGATTTCTCCTCCATTCTTTTATCAAATAGAAACCCTGCAAAAATTTCCCCCACTGAATAACTTTCCTTTTCAATTTCTTAACAGTGTCTTTTAAAGTGCACATGTTTTGTTCTGATTTTTGATTTTAGACAGAGTCTCATGTACCCTAGGTTTCCCTTAAATTTTATGTAGATAGGATGAAAATTTAATTTAATTTTTCACTTGTTTGTACTGGGAAAATTGAACCTCTGGCCACACATGTGCTAGTTAAGCACTCTACCACTGAGCTCTGTCCTCAATCTTAAATGAGTAAGTTTTAAAGTTTGATTAAATAGTTCATTTTTTTTAAAACTTTATGATAGGAATGATTTTTTTACTTTTATTTTTTGTTTTGCAATGCAGGCTTTCTCTGTGTAGCCCTGGAAGCCCTGGAACTCACTCTGTAGATTAGGCTGACTTAGAACCCACAGAGATCCACCTGCCTCCACCTTCTTAGTGCTGGGATTAAAGGCAAGTGCCACCACCACCTGGCTAAGAACATTCATTTCTAATTTCTATGCGGGTATCCGTTGTTTCTCAGGACATGGAAAAACGTGTATACTATCTTCATTGAATAATCTGTGACTCCATTGGCTTTTTATTTTTGTTAATATTACATATTGTCTTAATTGTAGTGTTCATTTATTTGTTATTAGTGTATAATTTTTCCTTTGCGTTTTTTAATGCATTCTTATGGGTTGTTATAATCACCTTTAAATTACCCCAGGCCACTGCAGACAACATTTTTTTTTCAACTTTGCTTAAGAAATCCATAAAGTTCTTCTTGTATAACACCTTTCTCATCTAGGTGATGGGAACATGCACTCTTTGTAGACTTAAGACATTTCTAGGACTTGTCGGTGTTAATGCTGGGGCTTTGCAGTTACTCTTTCAACAGATTTGGGTAATTCCTTCCCTTGAACATACAAATTAAAGTCCAAAGGCCAGGCTCCTGGGCATACACTGAGTCCTCTTTAACTCTTTGTAGTGTGTGTTACAACTACCCGGGGCATTCTGACCTAAGTTCTCATGGAGGTAGCTGACTTCTGTTTCTCTCTCTGGATTGTGATGGATAATGCTTGGAGGTAGGAAACCTGGTCAGTCTTAGGACTCCTTTTCTTATTTTCCATCTCTCGGGGATTAGAATCTAGTACTTCCTACCCATCCAAAGTTTGATAATTCTTTTCAACTATTACTCCCGGCATACTGTTTGGATTTTCTGTTTGTTTGTTTTTAAGTCAGGATAGCATTTCGGTTCCATGTTAGAAAATTATTCCTGGAAGTAGATATTTTCATTTCTTTGTTCCTTCTCTCTTTTCTTTTGAGATATAATTCATACGCCATCCTTACTTAGAAACTATTATTGCTCCCCACCTTTTTTCCTGCTGAGACAATTTCCCCTTGAGTGTATCTCTCTATTCACACCGATTCCATCAATTATGACATTTGTTTTACATTACATACCATGTGTTGATTTACTTTTCTCCCTCACCATATAATGCTACCCAGGAGGGTAGGAATTGATATTTATTCATCTCCATGGCTTGTATCCTAGCACATCACCTATATTTTACTGACTCTATCAAGCACTGTTCCACAGTGAACAGCTGGAGTTATTCTGCCTTGTCTAAGGCTTAGGCCCATATATCTTGTGCTAATTTCCCAGATTGCATTAACATGACCTGACGTCGTTGCTGCCATAAACTCTTCTTTGTAAGAGCCATAGGGTCCAGCAAAGCTGAGGGAATGCACCAATTCTAAGAACTCATAGTTCTCTGCTTCTGAATCTTACTTTACAGGTTTTTCTACCTAAAAATCTCTTCTTCCATTGACCCTATGTTTAAAAATACTAGGCCCATCAACATGAGTCAAATGCACCCTCCCCAGGGGTTTGGGTTAATCACAGAGAATTTGTGTTTGATTTGGTACATTTCCACTTATTTTATCACAACCTATGTGTGTGCTATTCTACAAGTATTTTATTTTCTGTCACGTTATTCTTTGTCTATGTCAGTCTTACCAACAACCTGTCCAGCTGTCCTCTCCTAATTAGCTGCTTTATCTCTCTTTGAGTGTGTGTATGTGTGTGTGTGTGTGTGTGTGTGTGTATATATATATATATATATATATATATATATATATATATATATGCTGTTCTTTGGACCTCTCCTTAAGAATAAACATCCAATAACTATTTACTGAGTAAACTGTGAAAACAAAAAAAAAATTCTTGATAGCTATAATTGTCAGAACCATTTTCAATCTAACAAATATATTGAAATATAATTCATACACTATAAGTTTTGTCTTGTTTTTGTTTTTGCTTTTGTTATACAGAGACAGGGTTTTTCTGTGTAACAGTCCTAGCTATCCTGTAAGTCATTTTGTAGACCAGGCGGGCCTGGAACTCACAGAGATTCACCTGCCTCTGCTTCTCTGCCTCTCAAGTGCTTGGATTGAAGGTGTGCACCACCACTGTCAGGATACCATAAAAAATTTGTTAAAGTGTACCTACCAATAGCTTTAGTGTGCTCAAGGAGGGCTGTAATTATCATAATTTTCTAATTTTAAAATATTTGCATTACCTCCCCCACAAAATCTCTGTGCTCTTCAGTCTTGACTCTTTAGGCTCCTACTCTTCCAGCCCACTTTATGTGTCTATGGATTTGCTGTTTCATACAGTTTACACAATAGAACTGTGACATTTCTGCAATAGAAATAACACATTTGTAACTGGCACCTTTGACTTG